TCTCGGAGCAAAAGTCTGTCAATTGTCGTATTACGTGAGAAACGCCCATATATCTTTTTGCAATTTATATCAATCTTTAAAAATTGTGTTTTTGATGATTTAAAAAAATATTTTCTGAGGTGTTTATAAAAATCATTTGCTCATTCTTCTTTTGGATTGAGAATAAAAATAGAAACTTATAAATATCGATTTTAATATTTTCAAAAGTTGAATTTCCTAAATAAGAATTATTCCATTGTTTCGTAATATATTTTTGAAATTAAAGTTCAAATGATCTCAACCAGTTGTGATTTGAATTTTGTGCATTTTACGTGAAAATTTTAATTTTTAAAATTAACTTTGCAATCAAAGTTTAAATAATCTTCACGAGTTAAAAAAGTAGGTTTCTTGCATTAAAAAATATTTTATGGTGTTTCTAAAGAAAATGTGTTGCTCATTAGTTTCCCCGTCTATCATCGAGAAAAAAAAATTTGCTTTGTGAATAAAAATAATAATTATTTTAATTTTGTGCAGTGGAAGGTGAAATTTAATTCTTTTAAAATTGAAATTTAAATATGCTTCTCAATTTATTTCATCCTTTTAAAACTGCTTTTCTCGTTTTTAAAAAATATATAGTGTTTGTAAAAAATAAGCTGCTCTTCTTCCTTTGCATTGAGACTAAAAATAGGAACTACTAAATATCAGTTTTAATATTTTTAAGAAATTAATTTCAAAAACAAGACTTATTCCTTTGCACCTTGATATATTTTTTCATGTTTTAAAAATAAATGCTTGAAATTAAAGTTGAAATATTTTCAACCAGATGTTTTTGCATTTTAAGGTGAAATTTTTTAAAATAAAACTTTGAAATTAAAGTTAAAATATTCTTCATAAGATGTCTCACTCCTTAAAAAACTGTGTTTCTAACTTCAAAAAATAATTTATGGCCTTGGCAAAAAAATGTGTTGCACATTAGTTTCCCCCTTTGGCATGGAGAAGAAAAAATTTGCTTTAAAAATAAAGTATTAGGGTTTTAATTTTGTACCTAACCACAAGCCAGTGAAATTTTGTTTTTTTAAAATTAAACTTTAAACTTAAAATTTAAGTATACTTCTCAATATGTGCCAATCTTTTAAAGCGGAGTTTCTCGTTTTCTTTTAAACTTTGATTCGTTTGTAAAAAATAATTTACTCATTCGTTTTCTTCTTTGCAATCGATAATAAAAATTCCCGCTATTCAAGAGATTTTTTTTTAATTGGTACAAGTAAACTTCTGAAATTAAATTTCAAATATTCTTACAATTTCAGGAAGTCTTTAAACATTTTTTTTCTTTTTAAAAACATTTTCCTAAGCTTTTGCAGAAAAAGCATACCTCATTAGTTATATTCTATCGCCTTGAAAAAATATGAACTAATAACTAATAACAGTTTAAAATTTTTAAAAAATTTAAACAGTTTGAAACTGTGATCTCCATGTGTTTCAAAAAGTATTACATAGAGCTTGCGGAAATATGATCCTCAATAGTTACTCTTTTCATGCCAAAATACAGATTAATACCCATCAAGCTTAATAATATGGATTTCAGGCAATTTTTTTTAAAAATTAAAACTGAGCTAAATTTAAATGAAAAAAACTAAGAATTCATGCAAAGTGGTAATTTCAATCTATAATTTTACATCAACCCGCAATGACTCAGGAGATAGAGAGTTCGCCTTGCAATGAATTGAACCGGGTTCGAATCCCTGCGATGGCTGGTTCATACTAATTCCGCATGCGGCTTGCACCGATCACCAAGCTGACGTGAAATATCCTCAGTGGTAAGTGAATTGTAGGTTAGAATCCCCTTTGCTATCAGGCTAAACGCTGGTTGTTCTCGTGGTCTTCATCTCCATGCAACGCAAATGCTGGTTAGTTCCACCGGAAAGTTCACCACGAAGGAAAATTTCTCCCAATACTTGATCCATGAGCTCCCTTGTCTTCTGGATTGGGTTCAAAATTACAAGGCTGCGGAGTTGAACATCAGTAGTTGTAAATTGTAATTGGTTATAGTTAACAATGTAGTTGTAATTGGTTACAGTTAACAATGTAGTTGTAATTGGTTATAGTTAACAATGAATTGAAGACAGGGTGTGCTTTCGTGGCCTATCTGGAGGGAGAACCTATTGAAAGAAAAACCTTTCGCATCTCTGATCATGTTTCCGTGTTTAAGGCTGAATTATGGGCCATTCTCCAGTCGATTCGTTGGATTAAAGAACAAAGAATTACAGACAATATCTCAATTTATACGGATTCCCTGTCTATCCTGCAAGCTTTGGAAAACAGCAACTCTAAAAAGTATTGAGTCCACTTAATTAAACAAGAATTCACAAACAATATCGTTTTACATTGGATAAAAGCACATGCAGGCCATATGGGAAACGAAGAAGCTGATAGGTTAACTAAATTAGCCTGTGAGAGATCAACGGTCGATGTGTTTGAAGATCGAAGCAGGCGGACTGCAAGAAAAACTTTGGAACGCGAAAAATTGATTGAATGGCAGGAGAGATGGAGTGACAGCTTTACAAAGTAAAGGCACACATTCGAGCTCCTCCCGAAAGTTCAAACGAGGAAAATAATGGGGAATTTCTTTTTAAATCAATTTCTAACTAATCACGGCTGTCATGGACAACATCAGGGCAGGTTTCTTGGGGGAGCTCAGCTGTGCAGTACCTGTCCGCTTGTTCAGGATTGGGAACATATATTAATCTATTGTACAAATTTTAAGCACATCAGAGAGAAAATTTTTCATTCAAAAATTACCTATGAGTTTATAAAGCCGCATTGGTCAAACCCTAAAATAAAAAGGGGAATTGAGGAAATAATAAGAAAATTAATTAGTAACAAGGCACTTCCTTGAATCCTGATGGCCTTTTGCTGCCTATTATTAGGAAAGATACACTTCAAATCACGGTTTATTGATTTACCTGTTACGGTTTGATTTTTACTTGAATTTTCTCTTCAAATGTTTTTTGTGCTTTAATTTCATGCTTTTGTCAATTTCTGACCCTATGTGATTCCTCATTTTGAAAATTTTAATCACTTGTGGTCTTTGAGTTTATATTATATATATATACAGCTGGGCTAACCGTGGAGGTTTTCGTGGTCTTCCTCTCCATGTAACGCAAATTCTNACGATTTTAATTCTGTCAGCGAAGCGAACAAAAATTTATATATATATATATGTATATATATATATATAATGTATGTATATACATATGTCTTTCTTGTTTAAAAAAAAATCTTGGAATTTGATACCTTTACTGTTGTGCCAGCTGTAATTATATTTTGAGTTACGAACATCCTATATTTTCCATGCGAAATTGTTTCCTTTTTTTAACTTTGCACCTTTACTAAAGATGCGACATCAATGTCTCTTCTGATTGTTACTGTTTATTTTCTTTGTAATGTTTGTTTGCATTTAGTTTATTCGTAAGTAGCACTGTTTTCGGGATTTCATATTTAATATTCTACCTCTTTGTTAAAACTCTAATTTGAAAATTTTAAATATGTTTGCTTATGTAATTGAATTGTTGCGCTCACTTCTAACTTTCGGACTGTCACCAGATGCCCCCTTTACGGGGGCGGGACGGGGTTAAGCTCGCTATTAGTAGTTGTAAACTCAAATTTGTGACGGATATTCAGCGACAGTTATAAAATAAAATATAATTTTAGATCGGTAATTTGTCATTCCATTACGAGCATTTCAATTTCAGTTTTAAAATTTTAAATTTAAAATATTTAAACAAGTTAAATAAATTCTGATTTTAATTCTTAAATTCAAAGATAAAAATTTAGCAAAATTTTAGTTTCAGATTTAAATGATACAAAACCATTTTAAATTAAATTAGTTTCCTCTCCAATAAAATGAGTTTAATCGCATGACATACCAGGATTTATGTTTATTTATATCTGTGTGCAGGTTTTCTTTGAATTTTAAAAAATATCTTTTATTTTAAATATAATTCTTATCTGACTACATATTCATGTATTTTGTAATTTTTTTCACTTGTATAAATTTTTAGCCTCTAACTACATTATTCATTTCAATTATAAAAGATAGAGGCATATGATTTCATACATGTGTTATTACTAACCGCATCTAGCTATAAAACAGCATCTAAAAGGTATAGAAAATGCATCTTGTAAGGTAGAGAAATTTTTACAGAAATTTTGTAGCTTTAAAAAATATAAAATTTTAATTTTTCGAATTGTTTTTAAGAAAGCAAATTTTAAAACGTTCAAATTTTCAATTTACTGAAATTAAAACTGGAAAAAAATCGCATAGAGTATTCTTTTCTTTATCAATGCTCCATTTTTATTGCAGACAGAAAGCTGATAAATACAGGTACAAGACACAAATTTAAGAGCTGAGCACCTGTATAACTTTTGATTTAAGGTTATTGGACTTTTACCTACTAAAATGTAATATTAATAGTTAAACAGCTTTAACGTTCATGACAAAACTATTAAGACTACATTTACCAAATTTTAGTTGCACACCATATTTAGAGAATTTAGAATCTAAACTCGACAAATAAAAGATATATTTGTTCAGATAAAAAAAATAATAAAAGGTATGCTTAGATAAATGTAAGAGAACGATTTTGTAATTGATTTTGTAACATAAAACACCGTCTACGCAAATAATTAAAATTGAGATTTATCATCTGAAATTTCGATTATAAAATCAAAAGAAGTTTCTTTTTCACCTTCCACATATTTTTTTACTTTTTGATCTCACTTCTATGTCTCAAAAATGATCTCACTTTTCTGTCTGAAAAACAAACTCGCCCCCTCCCTAATGCCAGTATTTTTAACTGTATGAACAAAATAGGTTTTAACGTTTCCAAACACTGTGTTTCCAATTTAGTACCTTGTATTTTTTACTGAAAAAAGACTCAAACAAAATTTTTTCTATTACAAAGAATGGGAATTGAAACATAATATATGACAAAGGTTTTAACCCTTTATAAGATACCGTGTTTCCCAACTAGGTTCCATTTATTTCATAAGTATTACAAACCACTACAAACATAAAATTATTTTTCGTATTAACAAACCACCAAAAAACGTAACTGATTTCAAAGATAAAGAAAATTTTCAATTTAGCCAAATTATTATACCTGTTTATTATTAACCATTAAATAGTTAAATCTATTTTACTAAAAAAACAATATAAAATATAAACTGAATTATTGCATGAAGAAATTACTTTTAACTAATAGTAATATATCATAAACATATTAAGTAAAAGAGTAAAATAATTACATATCATATTTTGGCATTTTATGATTTGGTATTGCATACAATACCTAGCCATTGTGAAAAATGTTTAATAGTTTAATACTTTTCCCGTTTTTTTTCGTCATTATATATAATACCAGATTTCCAAATTTCTCGGAAACACATACAATATATGTAATTATTCTTTTAAGAATTTCAACAAGGCATTAAAGAAGAGAATCGGAGCATCCGCGTGAATATCGTGAGTAGAAACGTCAATACTAACAAACTGGGCCTTTGGAAAATGTCTCTTAATAATTTCTGTTTCATCATTCCTAGAAAAAAGAACATCGAACAATGAGTAAGTAATATCATTCATCTGTGGTATTTTAAATTGAACCTGTGACTTTCAGTTGACAGGTTTTTATAGAAGATAGGCATAGACAGAATGGCAACACTAACAGAATCTTGAACAAATTATGGGTTGCCTTAGGCTCGGAAATACAATATTGCTAGTAGAAGTAAATATTACTTCGTGTTTGATGTTTTGCAACTAATGTTTCAAAAGAAAAGTGGTAGCAATTGTGGTTCACTTCCTTTCCCTCCAGAAATTAGTTTTCAATATCAAAACAATTCTAATAAAGCTTCAAATCCTAGTACTCTACTCCAATTAACAACATTGCATTTTTGAACCTAAAACAAATCATTAATGAACAACGACAGTAGATAATGAGATGTTTTTGATTCAGGAATACATTAATGATAGTACTATGTAATAAAAATTACTTGGACTTTACGTTTCATTTAAATGTTTAGAATTTGGTAACCAATTTTTGAAAAGAACAATGGTATGGTGATTTACTTCCGTTCTCTCTAAAAATTAGCTTATTCTTTCAAAAAGTCTCAAAATCCATGAAATCTTTGTAAGTTTTACTACTGTCAACAAAAAACAAAAATGCAATTTCGTTGATAGGAGGATCCACTAATTGTTTACATATATAAATTACCTA